GAGGAGGGTGAAGGGAAAAAGAAGGTTGGTGAGGGAAAGTGAACCCGGCAGCCATAGCCGACTGAAGAAGTTGACCGGAGTTGACCGGAGGTGTTGACCGGCGTTGACCGGAGTTGACCGGCGGTTGACCGGGAGTTGACCGCAGCGTTGACCGGCGTTGTCCAAGCCATTGACCACGAGTTTGACCAAGCTGGAGCCGGTATAATCTCGCCAAGCCTTCAACCTATCCCTCGCCCTATGGATGTGCACACACCCTGTGGTACTTGCTGAGTCCAGTTTGTTTGTCTCTTGTTTCTGCATTGAGTCTCTTCTGTCCAGGTGATAGTACTCTGTGGATGAAGGATAGGCCTCGTTGGCACGGTAGGCCCGAAAGGCTGAGTTGTGCGCTGCGCAACAGGCAGTCTAAGTGTTGAGAGACCTGCTGATCGCGTCGTCCTGTTTGCGACGTTAAATAATTCCTGAGGAGTTACGGGGGATCTCCTTAAATGCCTCCTGATCAACAACAGGTCCAGTAGTGACAGCCATAGTGTAGGTCTAGGCTACAGACCCTAGTTGACAAGATCCCTGTCCGGATTATGTGAGTCTTTAGATTGAGTCAGTAGGTTTGTCAGTCAGGGGTTAGAGTCAATGTGGTGAGGTTTGGAACCGTCAATTCGGTTGTGCACTTATCACCATGGTTGAGACCCGTAGTGGGAAGAGCACTAGCCCCTACACCCCGGAACAGCAAGAGAAGATGGCCGCCTTAGTGAGAGAAAGTAAGGAGAGAAAAGAGCTCCTGAAACAGGCGAAGTTGAAAGCAATTGTAGAGGAGCATGCGGCGAAGATGAAGAAGTTGGAAGAAGAGATGGAGGAGAAGAAAAAGGTTGCCGAGAAAGAAGCAGCAGCAGAAGCAGAGGAGGAAAGAAAACGCAGGGAAGAAAAAGGGGAGAGTAGTGGCACGGCGAAGGAGGATACAGCGATGGAGAAGAAGATTAGTGAGTGGATTGCTAACTTATCATTGGCGGAAGACGAGGAGGCACAGTTCTATGTGCCACAGGATGAGAGGGATGCGTTAGCCAGCGCGCTAGCAGCAATTGAGGACCCCCTGGAACGGCAAGAAGTAGAGGAGGAGAAGAAGTTGGAGGGGAAATTGAGGATGAAGAGGGAAAAGAAGAGAAGGAGGGAGAAAGTTAATAGGTTGACCGCGGAGGTGGCCAAGGTGAGAGACTGCAGACGAGAGGTGCACGCGCAGGAAGATATTTTTGCCAAAATGGATAAGATGTTGGGGTACTTGGACGTGTTGAGTGAGGCATGGATGGAAGAGCGCCAAGCTAACTGGGGTCACGATGTGGCCCTGAGTGCCATGCGGTCAGGATTTCGAGATTTTGCGCGCGATATGGTCACCCACGTTGGAGGCGAAGTCAGGCGATTGAGAGACAACGTGGGGAAGTTCTGTGAGGGCGCCATCGAGGGTGCCAAAGCAATAGCCGCTGTAGAGAGTGAGGCCAGGCCTCGTAAAGAGTCCGTCAAGCTTAAGTTTCAGATGCATACGGCGGGAAGAAGGAGGATAATTTTGATAACTGGGAGGCGAGCGTAAATAGTTACGTGTACTTACAACACATCTTGACTGAGGAGCAAGTCCTCATCGCCTTCCAGGCCCTCAAAGATGAAGCGGCCAGTTTTGTCGGATCCCTTGCGCGTGCAGCCGGTTGTGAAAACAACCTGGTTGCATATTCTAAGATCACACCCCTTCCTCAATTCTTCAAACTCCTGAGGTAGAGATTTGTTGATCCAACGAGAGGCGTTAGAGCCTCTGACAAGTTACAGACCATCCACTCACGACAGTGGAGGAGTGCAAGAGCACTCAAGGGTGTAATGGACGACTTGGTAGCTGTCCCAGACCATGGAGTCACTGAGCCCCAATTGGTTCAGTTATTTTATCGTGCCATGCCGGAGCCCCTACGTGGGCATTTCTTTGACAAATCTCAACAGACCGACATCACATATGATGTGTTGAGTAGAGAAGTGGTCCTGTTCGAGTCGAAGTCCATGCCAGTATCCACTTTCTGGCACAAGGACTTGGATAAGGGGAAGAAGTGGAAAGGCCGTACCATCTCTGGCCAAGTCAGGGCCAAGGATCACATGATCCTTACTTTAGAGGAAGGTGGTACAGATGAGGTCTCATATAGTCAGATCGAGTGGGGCCTCGAAAATGAGGACAGTAGCGTGGGGCAAGGGAGGTCCTATGCTGATGTCGCGGCTGGAGGGAGGCCGCAAGGTAGAGGAGGAGGCCAGGGCCAAAGGGGCCAGGCCACGGGAGGCCGAGGACCGGGCGCACAGGGGCTTGGCGGACAAGGGAACCGCCAAGTGGGAGGTAGGGGTCAAGGTCCCCTGCCAAATCGTCAGGGTTCTTGTCGGTCCCCACAGCGATGAGGTGGAAGGCCACCTCAAGGAGGATGGCACCCAGGCTTGTCGCAGGGCAGGCCCTGGGAAGATTTGGGCTTGGACCAGCGCGTACGGCAAGAACGCGTGGACTTGGGTCAATGCGTGTTTTGTGGTGACCCGACCCATGTAATTAAATTTTGTCCTAAGTATAGACAGGCCCGATGGGCTGCCCAGCAGTCAAAAGGCAGCCGTCAGTAGGGGTCGCAACTGCCTCTACTTCAAGGCCATGTGGGGAAGCGAGCGCGCCCGTACAGAAAACTCCCAAACCACATGAGCCTATGGCAAACGTTGCAGGTCAGTGCCTAGCTAGTTGTCCAGAGACTGCTTGTGTTAGCGTCTCCCTAGGCACTTCCCTCACAGGTGTGGCAGAAGAATTGAAGGAGAGGATGCCAGCCTGGGCCAAAATGAAGAAGGAGAGTAAGGGAAAGCTAATTTTAGTTGATGTAGAAGTGTTCAAGAGTAGAGTAGGGAGCCTTATAGATTCAGGGGCTATTTGTAGTTACATTAGCCGTAGAGCGCTAAAAAAGCTAAGGCTAGGATTAAAAGTTCAAAAGTTAGCAGACCCCATAGTCAGTGTCCTCGCAGACAACCGCACAATGCGTGTTGAGGACTACGTAGAGGGAGTCCAGGCATATTTTCGCCTAGAGAAGGATGGGAAGGGGGAGAAAGTTCTCCATTCCCTGACTCTCCTCGTACAAGATGACCTTCCTTTTAACATAGTGTTAGGGATGGATTGGGGAGAGGCAGCAGGGGTCACACTCCACTTGAGAGAGTATGAGTGTAGGCTCTCTAGTCCATCAGGCGAGGTCAAGACCGCCCGCCTGTTTCATGTGTCAGGTGTAGACAACACTCTGGCACATTGCTGTCTCAGTGCTCCCTCGTTCGCGCGATTAGTGAAAAAGGAGCAGTTAGAGGATCAGGTCTTTGTAATATATGTCAGACCCTTCACTGAGCCTAAGGAAGAAGTTAGTTCCATAGATCCAACCGTTGCCAAGCTGCTGGAGGAGTTCAAGGATTTGACGGAGTCGCCGACAGGAGTAGTGTCGCGGCCGATCCAGCACAGGATAGAGATAGAGCCTGGTAGTCGAACTCCTAAGGGAGCAATCTACAGGATGTCCCCTAGAGAGTTAGAGGAGTTGCGTAAACAGTTGAACGAGCTCCTGGAGAAAGGTTGGATTAGGCCCAGTTCATCTCCTTTTGGAGCACCAGTGTTGTTTGTCCCCAAGAAGGAAGGAGAGTTACGTATGTGCATAGAATATAGGGGTTTGAATGCCATCACAGTGAAGAATGTTGAGCCGCTGCCCAGGATAGACGATCTTTTAGATCGGGTGCAGGGTTGCAAGTATTTCTCCAAGATAGATCTAAAGTCCGGTTACCATCAGATAGAAGTTCACCCTGATGACCGGTACAAGACTGCGTTCCGGACTCGTTATGGGCATTATGAGTTCATAGTAATGCCCTTTGGACTAACCAACGCGCCATCTACATTTCAGTGTTGTATGAATGATCTGTTCAGACCGTGGTTAGATAAGTTTGTAGTAGTCTATTTAGATGATATATTAGTATTCAGCAGGACCCTCCAAGAGCATCAGGGTCATTTGAGGCAGGTCTTGGAGAAGCTCGGAGAAGCTAACTTCAAGATCAATGCGAAGAAGTGTGAGTGGGCCAAGACACAAGTTTTGTACTTGGGCCACATGTTGGATGGAGATGGCATTAAGCCATAGGACAGCAAGATAGCGGCAATTCGAGACTGGTCGACGCCCCGCACGTTGACAGAGTTGCGGTCGTTCCTAGGCCTAGCCAACTACTATAGAAAGTTTGTGAGGAACTTCTCTACTATCGCCGCTCCTTTGCGCAAGTTGCTTAAGAAAGAGGCAATTTGGCAATGGGACAAAGACTGTACGTCTGCGCTAAAGAAGTTAAAGCGCGCGTTAATAGAGTACCCTGTCCTCAAAGTGGCAAATCCGTCTTTGCCATTTGTCGCCACCACAGACGCAAGTCAGTATGGTATAGCCGTCGTGTTGCAGCAAGACGACGACAATGGCTATAGACCATACTTGCGGCGCATCGACCCTGTGCGCTGTGCAGCGCGGACCCGAGGTGCGCGCGCACCTGCGCGCGCCGCGCACCTGGGTAAGCGGTGCGCAATGCGCGATGCGCTGCGCACAGGGCTGGTGCGCCGAGCGCGGGGGTGCTGGGGGGTGCGCACTGCGG